AAATAAATTTATGAAAAAATATTTAACACTTTTGAAAAATTACTGCATTTTATTACCCCACTTAAAAAACATATTATACCCACTGAATGATTGTTTTATTATCAATAAATAATAAATTTTCCAAATTACTCCAACTGCTATCACTCAATATCACATCCAAATAATGAAACTCTATTTGTTTTTATTATTCAGTACAATTTCTTGTAAATTGATTGAAAAATTCAAATACGACATAATCTTTAAACATTTTCTACTACCAGAACAAGATGTAACAGTAGCCACAAGTACTGATTTCAAAAATTTTAACTCCGTGTTCAATTCCCCGAACCCAAAGTTAATCAAAAAATACCAAAATAATTCAAAATTAAAATATGGCAACTTTAGAAACTACAACTATATCATAATCGACCAGAATTATGCCAATTTTAAAAACACTATTACCAATTTATTACAAGAAAAAAATTTAAACGTCGATGGAAAATATTTAGTAATATTACCAAACCTGAACAAAGTAGAAATGGAAAAATATTTTGCTTTTTTATGGCAGTACGAAATATACAATATGGTTATTCAAACCAATCAAGAATACCACACTTGGTACCCTTATAAAAACTGTAACAAAATAATAATTCATCCAACGAATTTAACACAAGGTTTTTTCAATAAAATTCCCAACAAACTCAACTGCTGGTTACAAATCAACTGGTCTAAAGCTTCAATAGTTGTTAAAAACCCTTATAATATCACAAATCCAGGTACCTTCATTTTATACGCTAACCAACTATCTAAAACCATGAACTCCCCCTTTAAATACATCAACAGCAGCACCGATTTCACAAAAATGCTCCTAAAAGGAACAATGATCAAATTCAGTGAAAAAATGGTCGAAGAAAATACAACACTAGCACTTGGAGGTTTCAATTTTGGTTTAAGTATTCCGGAAAATAATGATCACACGACTTATATTTCCACAATGAATACATTAATTCTCCTACCACCACGAAAAATTCACCCAAAATGGAAAGAATTTCTGAATTTTTCAACAACAGCAATTGTGTTACTTCTCACCACTTTAATTCTCAACGGGTTGATACTTCACATCTGTGTGAAGAAAATGTCAATTGTACGATCACTTTTTCTATCGTTTCAAATTTTTATACAGTTAATGATGCCAAAAGTAGAAAAAAAGCCATATCAAAAAGTGTATCTCCAATCAATTTTATTTTTCACAATGTTGATCAATTCGATTTATTTGGGGGTTTTAAGTGGTGTTTTCACTAAACCAAACTATGAGAGAAAAATCACAACAGTTGAGGAGTTTTTACAGACGGACATACCTCTAAAATGTAACCCTTTCTTCTTCATCGATATTGTAATAAATTCTTCGGGTTATGACAATTTAAAAATGAATCAAAACAAAATCATTAAAAATTTTGATCGAGGATACGATTTAATCACACAATTTGTCACAAATCCAGTTCTAGCCATTTGTTCCACTTCATTACATTTAAACTACGTAAAAAATTACAAAAACTTGGAGATGATTCGGGTAAAACTAAACTTTTCAATTTTTTTATTATGCATTAAAGTTATTGTTTTTAGACATCTTCCATCTATTCTACTTTCCTCTTACGTCAACGTTCCCATTTGAAGAAAAAAATCGACTATCATATAAGAGAAATTCAAGAACGAGGTTTGGTACAAAAATTTGAAGCAACCACTAACATGTTTACCGAGAAAAAAACCTTTGCAAAAGAAGAATTAATCAAGACATTGAACCTCAACGATTTAATTGGTGTTTTTGTTACTGGTTGGGTGCTTCATTTCAACAATTGTTTTCGTATTAGAAAAAACAAAACAAATAACTTAGATAATAATAAACTTTGTCAAAATGGAAACACTAGAAAAAAAAATGTATTTCTTCATTTAAATGTCTTTTTCGTTCAGCAGATTTGTTGATTTTTCTCTGATTCAAGCACCTAGCTAGCAATACACTTGTTTTCATAAAACTATAATATTGCCTTGTTGAGCAAATAAACAAAAAAATAATCAATTTTAATTTTAAATTAGATTATTTCATCCCTGAGAAACAGAAGTTTGAGTAACTACTCTTTCCTTCATTTCATTAAATGATAATGTGTCGAAATATCCTAAATACTATTTCTTTTCCACCAAAATATGATGACATAAATTTATGTTATCTTGACCTACATTTTTATTAATGCAAGATTAAATCTAAGATCCAAATTGATTAAAATTAGAACTTGACAAACATTTCCCAAGTCATAACAAATCACAACAATATCATTTCTCAGCGGATAAACATTTATTAGCAATCAGGGAAAACATCATCTGATTCTGAGTGCGTGACAATCGATACAACTTGAGATACACTAACAGGGCAACCAGTTTAACATGAAAAAATATCTAAAATTTATTTAAATAGAAATGCAATCTCGATTGTTTTTGCTAAAAAATGCTTTTTTTTCTCTTGCTGAAAAATTCATTAAATTTATTGAATTAAAAAAAAATAATGCATTTATGCATTTTACCATGAATTTTATTAAAAATAATTTATTTTAGTCTTAATTTTGCAATTTTCTGGTTTGTCTTGACAAAATATT